CTATAAATAATTCCCTGGATTTAAGGTCAATGATTGAGGATTAAACCTCCCTTTTTCAAGTTCTAAATCTGTTATTTATTGTTGCTGTTGTTGTTTCTTTATTGGAACTAAGCAGTTGACAGCTAAAAATGTCATGGTACGAGAGCTTGATATACTTCTCGGAAGGATGTGTGGGACTTCATTGCCTTAAGCTTCCTATGGTTCTGCTGTTTCATCTGGCCCTACCTAGTCAAGGCTTTTTTCACCCTCTTTTCCAGCAATATAAGCCATTTGTTCGAGTGGCAACGTTCACCTCAAGATTCTCTCAGTTTTTTCTTCAAAAGTTTTTTTGAAGACCCTTTGGTTCACTCATGTAGCAATCATCTTGCGAGTCTTCTTTATTCCTTCTTTGGTGGTTTTTGTTTCTTTGGCGGTCTTTGGAAGTTCTCCTTTGACATTCTTCCCTGTGTTTTATTTATTTGCTTTGATTTGTTGTCATGGTTATCAATAACAAGGAGAAGTGAAGCATTGTCCTAATGCAAGGTTTAGGTAATGCTCTTTAACAACTTGGGTGAGTAATAAGCCTTTGTGTGCTTTTCTCAGTTACACCATTGTCCGAACAAAAGGCTGCATTTTGTGGCCTCAGTGTTGCATTCTTGTGACCTTTCTTCTTTGATTTTTTTAGGCTTATGTCGTCCTTTGTCTGATTGTGGAAGAAATATTAGAATTTGGACCCTCAATCATTTTAGGAGTTTCTCTTACTATTGTTTTTTTTTTCTTCATATCTTGTCTATCCCTTCTCCTATTGCCTTTGCTTTTCCTTCATTTTGTAATGTTAAAATTTCAAAGAATGACAAGGTTTTTGCGTGGAAGGTGTTACAAAGGAGAGTTAATACCGTGGATCGTGTTCAAAGAAATTCTTACCTTTTGTTGTATCCGCAATGGTGCATTCTTTGTAGGAGATATGAGGAGGACCTTGATCATACACGGTAGGACTGCCAGTTTGCTCAATATCTTTGAAATCACTGGATGAATTTGCTTGGTGATTGTGGGGCTCGTAATAGAGATGATAGATCATTGTTGGAGGAGGTGCACTCGAATCCTCCTTTTATGTAGATGGGCAAAGTTTTGTGGGGTATTTAGGTTAAAAGGAACAATTGAATTTTTAGAGAGATTAAGGGATTAGGTGAAGAAGTTCGAGAGGTGGCCAAGTTTAATTTAATGCCTCCTTGTGGGCATTGGTCACTATGACATTTTGTGAGCTTGGTCTTGTTATTTTGTATTGGAGTCCTTTTTGTAGTTAGTGTTAGGTTACTTTAGTTGGGGCTTGTTTTTTTACATGCTCTTGCACATTCTTTCATTTTTTTTTTTCTCAATGAACATGTGGTTTCGTAGGAAAAGAACTTATAATTTTACTTTCAATTATCATGTAACTGATCTTGGATTGTGGACTCTTAGAGTCACGAATCATATGAAAAAAGGTGCTAGTTTCATATTTTATTGTCCTTTTCCAAGCAATAAGAGGACTTTTACTGTAGATGGTACTATTTATTACTGCAAGACAAGGTGATCCCTTAATTAACCCTTCGATGATAAAGAATGTCATACATGTTGCAAGAACCCTATAAGCTCGATCTTTGTCAAGAAAAGATTTAAAAATGATTTTCTCTATTTCTCTAGTTCTTAGAAGCCCAGGGGCTAAATTGTAGCTTTTGACAACAGGACCAAAATTGTAGTTAAATCATGTTTTGAGTAGTCTTATTTAAAATATCTCTGCATGGTTGTGTTTTTTTTTTTTTTCTTTAAAAAATTTATAGTTGGAAAAGGTTCAATTCAGGTCTCCCATCAATTTCATCTTCTTGAATTGTGAAAATTACTTTGACCATCTTTAGGCATTGTTATCTATTTTATGGCTGGGTGGGCTGTGATGTCAAAATCTTTCTCTAATGTTTATTTTTATTATATATACGGACTAATTGGAGAGCCTTTATTGTAGCTGCTTTGTCCTCTTGTTCCTTTCAATTTCTTAAGGAAAAGTGCTTGTTTCTTTTGGAAGAGCGAGGGCAAACTTTTTATTTATCGCGTAGTTTAGTGTTGAATTTCAAACTTGTAACTTAACTGAACCTTTCCTATTTGGATTATAGTTTAGAATTGCTCAACCTGATTTTCTCCCGGTTGAACCCTGAGGTATGTTTTGTATGTGGTATAAATAGCTAATTAGACAACGTGGTTCTATAGTGATAGTAGGCACGTTAGGTTCTAATTTGTTTAATTCATGAAAGAGCCGGAGTGATTATATTTATATTTTTATTTATTTTCTAATTTTATAAGAAACCCAGAAGTATATTAAGCTAAGTATGACTTGTTATCTGCACATTAATTTGTTTCAGGTCCAGTTATATCCAAATTTATCACTGCATTTCGTGAACTGGCTACCTACAAAGAACAACTGCGTTCCCAGGTTATTTCTAGATCCTCTTTACGGGATGTTTAAAAGGTTCTTATTTTTATTTATCTTTTTTTTAAAAAAAAATTTATTATTTTTTTTATTTTTTATAGTAATGGGGTATGAGAGTTTAAGCCTTAAGGCTGATTTCTTTTTGGGCGTGTGAAATAAGGGCAAAGAAATGCAACTGTATTTGATTGACCTTAGCATTGAAGACAAGCGCTGCTTATATGGATTTTACTTTGTAATCTTTCTTGTTCATATTTTTGCAGGTAGAACATGTATTATCGGATCGGTTGATGCAGTTCCTGAACGAAGATTTACAAGGAGTAAGGGTAAGTTCTATGAAAAGTTGAGAACTTGTCTCATTATCTTAGTCATCTTTTTATGAGATAATGAGTTTATAAACTAAAGTTAAAATGTGATGGCTGGAGGTATTAGACAATGAGAGCTTCTCTTTTATTCTTTTTATCTTTCTTGTTGGGAGGAGGTAGTTCCTTGCTCGTCATCTAGTTTCTTTCTTTTTTTTTCATCTTCTTCATCATCTTCCTCTTAGTTCTTCTTATCCTCCTCTTCAAATGTTAGTGTGATGCTTGAACTTTAGGGATGAAAGAGTATGGACTTTCAAGTCATTTGACATATTTCCTTGTAAATTGATATATTTATTTTATTTTTATTTAACATCATCCTTCTTCTTCCATTACCTTTTATTTGCTGAACTTATGAATATCTCAATTTAGCGGAAGGTTAAGTTCTTTTCTTGGATGGTTGTGTTTATAAGAACTAACACCATGGTTTATTCGGAAGTCTTTCAAACTTGGAGTTTTCGGGTGTATTTATTGCAGGGAGGCAGATCCTTGCCCAGGCACTTGGGGCCAGTAAGATCATAGATGATTACAGAAAGAGAAACATGGAAAGATTCATTTTTGAATACAATCATGTAGACTACATATTCTTGGGTGAAGTCCTTGAGAAGAAGCAGTTGGTTATTAGTAGAGGTCTTGGATGTGGAGCTGTGTAAGAAATGTGAACTTCTTCATCCTTTTAAACTGGAAGCTGAGGGGGAGGATTTTTGCGACTAGAGGTCATAGGCAAGGGATTCTCTCTCCTATTATCTTTATGTTCTGAGCAGGTTGGTCTCTACTAGAGTGGACAAGGGTGGTTTAAGGGTTCTTGGGTGAGTATGGATAGACTTCACCTTGCACCTTTATTTTTTTTAATGATTCCCTTTTCTTTTGTGCTGGTGATGAGACCTCTTTCGTTAATCTGAACACCTTTTTGTCTGTTGAAGCAATGTCGGGTCTCAAGATTAATAGAGGAAAGAGCTCCATCATGGGTATCAAATGCATTCTAAGTTGAACACTTGGGTGTCTTTAGTCGGTTGTGAGGTGAGTGAACTGCCTTCCTCTTATCTAGGTCTTCCCTTTAGCCATTAGTCATTACCCTAGGTCATGTTATTTGACTAGCAAGTCTTGTGTAGAAGAGTGAACAATTTAGAAAGTGTACAAAGACACTTATTTTTTGGGGGGGCCTGGGTGGTGCTACCTTTGCAGTGATGCTTCGGAGAATCTAGACCATATTCTTTGGAGTTGCCCTTATGCTCAGTCGATATGGTCCAGATTCTTAGTTGCGCTTGGAGTCTCATTGGTCTTGAGAAGGGATTGCAAGGTGATGATGGAGAAGCTTTTGCTTTTCTCCTTTTCTGGGAGAAAAACACTGTTCTCTGGTAGGCGTGCCTTTTCTCTATCTTTTTTAGAGGTGTGGAGAGATCTGAGGGGAGCTATGAGAAGTTATTAGGTTTTATGTCTCTTTATAGGCATTTGTGCGGAAGGTTTTTTGAAATTATGCGTTGGACTTTATTCTTGTACATTGGTGTCCTTCCCTATAGTTTTTGGAATCTTTTTTTAGTTGGGCTTTTATTTTTGTGTATGTCATACATTTTTCCATTTCTTTCAATGTATGCTCGGTTTCTTATTAGAAAAAATTGGAAGTTTTCTTCGTGGTACTTTTGCCCTCCATGGTACATTTTTCAAAACAGGCATTTGAGGAGCTTGACCATGACCATATGCTCTAGATTTGTTAATTGTAGAATTCCCCTAAAACTGTTGAATAGAGCCTACTCTCTCATTGTGCTTGTAAGCATTTGAAACTCTTCTTTCTAAGCTTACTGAGTTTGTTTTTAAAATATTCTTCTGACTTCGCAGGATTCTCGCCAATGCTTCGATAAAGCTATGCATGAGTACGATCAGGTGTTTGTATATACTTGCTTTTGTGATTTGTCCTTAGCTTGAAGCCTTCTTGCCAGACGATACATGTTTCTGAAAATTGGTATAATTGGTGGTTTTTCCGTAAACTGAAACACCTTAGTAGGGGGAACGTTGCGAATGGATGGATCCTAAGCCTTAAATATATGTGTACAATATGTAAATGTAAATTTTCCACGACTCTTTATTTTCATTTGAAACATAACTTCATTGCTAGGCTCGGGAAAAATTTGTGTCATTGAAAAAGAACACACGAGGGGACATTGTTGCAGAATTTGAAAAGGTATGCCTTGCTATATTAGTATGGAATTTTTAATAGTTTATCCTGGATAGTCTTTCTCACTTTCTTGGCCGTTGATATACATGAACTTCTACAGTTAGACCTTTAAATTAATTTTCAGTTGTTTTGATGTACTTGTGTATATTTAGAAACTGTATGCAAGAAAACAAGGTCTTTTTCCTTTTAGTTCTTTTATTTTTTTAATATTTTTAAACTTTGAATAATTAGTTAATCATTATAAGAAACGAGAGAGATTTCATTCAGAAATAGAATTGGAGATTTACATGAAGATTCGAATTCATCCAACATCTTCGCAAGCTTCTTCATGTCAAATTGAATTCATCCAATTGCATGGGTGGGGCTCCAGAAGGTATTCTCTTAATGTGGGATGTGAAGCTTTTTAAAGCGATGGAGGTGTTGAAGGGGGTCTTTTCGATTTCAGTGGTAGTAGAGTTCCAAGACCTGAAAGGTGAGGTGGGTCTCAAGGTGTGTTTGGGCCTCCTGCCCCTGAAGGGAGGAAGGCGTCTTGGGAGGAGATTGGTAATCTCTGGGTCTTTGTGGAGAAAGTTGCTGTTTAGCGGGAGACTTGATTTAACCAGATTCTCGTTTGAAAAGTTTGGTGGAAGAAGGATTGCCAAGTCGATGAAGTGTTTTAATAGACTCATAGAAAAGTGTGACCTTGTAGTCCCCCTTGGTGAACAACCGGTTTACTTGGTCTACGGAAGAGAGAGTGAGCTTACAGATTTACTTGGTCTAATAGAAGAAAAAGAGTGGTGCACAGCAGGTTAGACAAAATCCTTTTGACTAAGCGTTGGCTTGAAAGATTCCCCATGGAGAGATTAGCCCAAGGCGAAGAGATGCTCGTTTTTGGAGTCCTAACCCTACTGGGGGCTTTTCTTGTACCTCATTCGTTTGTTGCTTGTTGGACCCTGCTCCCTCTAGCGAGTTCGTCTTTTCTACTCTATGGAGGGGAAGTTCCAATTAAGGTTTAATTCTTTTCTTGGCCGATTATCCACAGCAGAGTTTACACTCTTGATCAAGTTTTGTAAGAAATGCCTTCTCTAGTTGGGCCGTTTGTTGCATTCTTTGGAGCTGTTCATTTGATCTGCTTGGAGCTATTTTTTTTACGTGTTTTGTTTCCACTTTGGAAGAAATAAAGGCTACAGAGAGATGATCGAGGAGTTCCTTCTCCATCCGCCAAAAAAAAAGTAATAAATAATTAAAAGTGTAGCAAGGCTGTAATGATGTAACCCTTAAATGGCTGCAAGCATTTACACTAGTATAAAGATGTGAGAAGAACAGAATGCCAGACACTGTCAAAGGAATTTTACCCTCTACGTCTTGTTGTATGGTGTGTTTTTCTAATTTGGAGCACCCTTGACGTCTCTTTCTGCATTGACCTACTGCTTCTCTGTATTGGGTGATAACTTTTTAGATTTAATTTTATTTTATGCTGTGTATTGGTGTAATCGAAAACACCATTTTAGAGATTTTAATCTTTCTTCTTAGGATAGCCTTTTCGTTAGTTAACTTTTGATGTAGGAAACCTTTTCTGCACATATTTACTCATCCATGGAATTTGTCTCTTCTAAAAACATTGTCCAAGGACTTTGCAGAGTTGTTAATGACTTGGTCAAGTCGAACCAGGATTTCAAAGTAGTACATACAATAGTTTGAGAAGTAAGGGGGAAAAAGGGAATGAAATGATTTTCAAACATCAGCACAATCACTTTTGGGTGTGTCATTGTTATCTTCCCTATTACCTTTTTGGAGTTTCCTATTGGTTTTCTTTTTGGAGAATGAAGGTCTATTTTCTTCTATATAATATTTTTGAAGTATTTTATTGATGACCTCCCAGTCTTATTTCAGGACCTCCTGAATTCAAAGTCAGCATTCGAGAAAAGCCGCTTCAATCTAGTAGGTTAACGATTACATTGTTTTTTGCTATCCTGTTCTCTTTAGTCTTTTTACGCACTAACTTTTTTTTTACTGTTTTGAGGGCGGTAGGTGAATGCTCTCATGAACGTTGAAGCAAAGAAGAAGTATGAGTTCTTAGAATCTATAAGTGCACTGATGGATGCTCATTTGAGATATTTTAAGCTAGTATGCTCTTTAAATTATTTGATGATATTGCATTTCATGATTGAATGATTTTACCATTAAGTGGACTAAACAGTGTTTATTTATTTATGAGCTAGGGCCATGACTTATTGGGCCAGATGGAACCTTTCATTCATCAGGTATGCTCCTATATTTTCAGGAACTTTGAAATTTCTGGTGTGAAGAACTTGTGTCATAAGTCGATATAGTTAGAGACAAAAACATTGTTAATGCAATCATCTAGTTTAAATCTGTCTCTGGTGGGACATTTGAGATGATAGAGCGGGTCCTAGATTGGGGAAATAATATTTCATTTGGTTATCTGACATGTGGCTGCATCAAGTATCCTTTTGATGGGTTCCAAATTATTCCTGTGTAAGCTTATTCACGGTAGAGATGGAATTTCTGTCGGAACTGTAGCATTATTTTGTATATGGTTTATAGGTATATCGCAACCACTTCTGGATGCGTTGTTACACAGTGTATTTAAATTATTATAGTATGGATATTACCCTTTGGACCAATATGATGATTTGCTGGTTAACTTATTTTTTCTTCTTGGGAGTTGGAAGTTTGTCTGTCATTATCGGCGAGGACAAACTTCGTCTTCTTTTTTGTCTATCATCTATATTCAACTTTATTCTAATCTGAATTGGTAGCAAAAATTTGCAAAAAGTGTTCCATGAATCCACTTCTGTACTATTTAAATTCATATTTAGCCACAAGACCATCAATGTTATTATTTTATTTAGTAGGTTCTACATACTTTTTATCTTTGTGGCATGGCTAAGCATTAGTGGCGGTACTTAGAAGATTTCTGTGATTTAGTGCTGGAAATATGTCCTAACATAAGCTATGTCCACCCTTTATGGAAAACTATACACAATCTTGCACAAGTTAATTACATTTTTTTTCTAGTAATTTTTTGCGTTTTGTTGTTTAAGGTTCTAACATATACACAACAATCTAAAGAACTGGCCAACAATGAACAAGATAAACTTGCAAAAAGAATTCAGGAATTCAGGTCACAAGCACAGCTGGACAATTTGCAAGATTCCAATAGCCTAGATCTTTCCGTGATTTCTGATAGCATTCTTGGTAGTGGTACTAGTTCCTACAGAAATGTTGAAACAGCTTCCATGTTCATTGTCAATGGGCAGGTAAAGAACGTTTTTTTCTTTCATTTTCTTTTTCACAATACCATTAATTTACCCAACTCCTGAAATGTTTTCTTATGTTTCAAAGCTATTGATGTATTTCTTTGGATAATCTAACGATTGGTAGAAGTGTTAAATATTATTGGAAACTATACTTTACTAGGGGACTAATTTAGTGTTGGATACTTGTTCAATAATAATGATTACTTTTAATAAGTCTGAATGTATGCCAACTTAGACTCTATCTTGATTAGTCTCACAACACAACTGCCCAAGTCTTCTACATTGTGGATAAAATAACTTAGAAGTTATAGCTTATATGATATGAAATATCTTAAGTGGGAGGCGGTTGTAGTTTGAGGTCATGTCCTCTGCACATCTATGTTTGGGGATGGGAAAAATTCCTACAGGAACCTTCTAGGATATGGTATGAGAGCAATGCTTAAGATGGGGATGAGAAATTTTGGGGACGGAGGACCTAACCCCAACCAAGACCCATTCTCTTTGCCAAATTTTTTATTATCTCTAATTTATTTTTAAATTTTTAGTTTATATCTTTTCCGATATTTCAGTTGTTGCTTTCTTCACAGAAATTTACTCTACTACACGTGAAGATATTATTTCATTTCACAGTCTGCCAAAACAATAAATATGATGAAGATTTTACACATATTTCGGAAAAAACGTAGTAACAAGAAAGCATTTATATATTAGTCTTCTGTTACGTTTCTTTTAGGAAATGATAAGTTTTGTATACATATACTTCCCTAAAATAAAATATTTCAGGTCTCCAGCGATATCATTTGACTATTCTTTTGTAATTCTTGCATCTGTAGGTTGAAACCATAAAACAAGGATATCTCTTGAAACGATCTTCAGGTTCGAGGGGAGAATGGAAAAGGATGTTTTTCGTACTTGATAGTCAAGGTGCTCTCTATTATTATAAGAACAAGGGAAACAAATACATGGTACGTTTAGTTGTTACATTGGTAGAATTGCTAGGGATCTTCTCTATAAATTAATTTTTTAAATTAGCACCTTCAGCACCATGACATCCAGCGAGGCATGATTAAGCACCGAGGTTCATTGTTCTTTAATGCACTTTGTGCTTATTAAAAAAAATATTTAATCCCATCAAACTCTTTGTGGTGGGTTCTGTGCAGTTGATTTGTTAATAAATAATTCTATGTAGCATAAGAGATGGTGCATTTTTGGTGGTTTTAAGTTTTTAGCAGAATACAAACCGAGCCCTTTTCTCCTTTTCACTTCTACATTTTGGGTTTGTTTTTAACCAATGTTATGCAAAGGTAGTCGTATGATATACTCAAATGACTGTATTGTGTAAAAGGACGGTCAGCGTAGTAGAAAGGAAAAAGGATCAAAATACAATTATCAATAAAATAGAAAGTTTTGTACCCTCGAACATTATTCTACTTTTTCCCTTATTAATGCTAAGTTTGTTTCTTGTTAGAAAAAATTAGACTTGATAAAAAAAAAAGTTTCCCTAAAACAATGAAAATAATTGAAAACAAATTATTTATGGAATCAAGTTTTCAATTTGGAAGTTGGTATAGATAAAGATCTTCCAACGTTACTAGTTTTGTTGTTGATGATGAACAATTTTATAGCTCAAATTTTGTCATTAGTGATTTTATCGTATGATTGGATATCAATGAGATACAATTCACCCAACTGAATTGCAAAAGATTTTAGTTATTGTGGGACGAAATTCTAGTTATTGTGAATGAAGAAGAAATGAAATGGATGAGATTCTTTTATGGAAGGCAATTGTTTTGGACATTGTTTTCCAATAAGCATGTATATGTTTTTGTTGCTGTGCTTTAAATAAAAATACTTTTTGAGACGTGTTTGGAACTGATTCCTCAAGTGCTTGTTATGTGTAATGCTCTTATTTCAGCTGTTCATGTGAAGTTGTTATATCTTATTCTTTTTGCTTGAAAAATCAATCTGTGGATTATATGGATCTTAGGGCTTCTATGTATTCAAATCACCTTTTTCTTTTGTAATTTTATTTTCTATCTAGGTGAAACCTTTTACTTCAAAATTTCCTTGTGTAAGTTGTATTTTATAGTATTCTAGACAATGGTTATGATGATAGAAATATAAATAATTATGGAAAGTAAATAAATCCTTGAGACCTGATCTTCGAATTTTGGTAAATTTAATGTGTTAATATCTCCTTCAGGGCCATCAATCTCTTAGTTTCAATCGTTCAAATGAACACCACAAAAGTGTTTTTGATAGATTCCGTTCAAGGCACAAGAGGGCATCATCATTCAATGAAGAAATTTTGCGTTGCTCTACAGTTAATCTGCATACGTCTACAATAAAGAAGGATGCAGAGGATACAGACCTACGACTTTGCTTCAGAATAATTTCTCCCTCTAAGACCTACACTTTGCAGGTAACTAGTTGACTTAGCTATCCCGGTGTACTTTCTTTTAAGTTCTTGAATGGCTTATTCATCCTAGTTTTTCTGCTTTCTTCTCAGCTATTTATGTTTCTAGCATCTAGACTTGAATGTTGAGTTCCTCTAAGGCTCTAACCGAGAATGCATGTAGCCTGCTTTGCACTTTCTAGTTTGACCTTCCTATCTGCTTCTAAACCCTAAGCACTATAAGAATCATTATATCTCTAGAAACCAATCTTTATTGGGGTCTATATCTGTATAAGAGTTAGACATCAAAAATGCCTTCTTAGATAGTAATTCGAAAGAAGAGGTGCACGTGGATATTCCTCGAGAACGTTGATCCAACAAAATGCATGCAAACTTAAGCCCTTTACAGGCTCAAGCATTCCCCTCGTGAATGGTTTGGTAGATTTGTAACTTTCTTATAAACCTTGGATATTTTCAATGCGTCTTTGTCAAAAGGAAATCAGAAACTCAAATTGCTCTCTTAATAGTATATGATGAAACAGAATTGCAGAAGTTGAAGAATGACTTGGCTAAAGAAGCTGAGGTCAAGGATCTAGGAAATCTCAAATATTTTCTAGGTATGAAAGTTGTTTGATCTCATAATATAGGTCTTGTTGTCTCCTAGAGGAAATATGTACTAGATCATCTTAAAGAAACAGGCATGCTCCCACCAACAAATTCTCCAATGGACTCGTAGAAGAAACTTAGACTTGATCATTAGATTTCATCAGTTGAGTGGGATAATACCATCACTTGGTACAACATCTCAGCTATCTTTCTCACGCACGTCCAAATATTGGATTTGTTGTTAGCGTGGTGGGTCAATTTATGGACTGTCCAAATAAAGAACGTATGGAAGTTGTACATAAAATTCTTAGATATCTAAATGTACCTGGGAGGATTTGGAGTTTTGTGTCCCTAATAACACTGTTTGGTTGAACATAATCTTTGTTGATACTTTTTGCTCTTTGGGCTAGGCCGAAAACGAGGCAGATAGGATGGACTGGATCAATAAAATCACGGGGGCTATTGCATCTCTTTTCAATTCTTACTTTCTTCAACAGGTTTGGTCCCAATAGCTTCTTGTATGTTTGTGTGTGAGCGACAAAGGAAGGATTAAAGCATGGATGCTTATGATACTGCCTTTTAATTGTTCTGCAGCCATTTCTGGAAGCAAAACATGATGAAAGTTATAACAACAATTTCGACGATTATAACGTACAGACTCTACATCAAAACAGACTAGAAGATGGCAGTCAAGTAGGTTCTGTTTCTAAGATATTAAGAGAAATTCCTGGAAATGATCTATGTGCAGAATGCGGCACTCCAGAGCCTAAGTGGGCCTCTCTAAACCTTGGCATTTTGTTGTGCATAGAATGCTCTGGTGTTCATCGTAATCTTGGTGTCCATATTTCGAAGGTATTCAAATCAGGCTCAATCTTGTTATCATTATGGATTTTGATTTTTGTGCTGGTGAGTTGGGCTTTCCTACTTATTTATGTTTCTAGCTTTGGAAAATATTGCGTAATAACACAATGCAATATTATATTTAAACTCTAAAGTTTGGAACATGCGTGCGCGAAAATGTTATTGAAATAAATACCGTGCCTAATATCTACAAGAAACACATGGGAGGGGAACCTTGGACACTCACCAGAAACAATTGTAAAAACAAATGTTAACCTAATCATGTGAAAAGGAAACATGATGGGCTTATATTCCTGGCTCATGCAGGTAAGATCGATAGTATTAGATGTCAAAGTCTGGGATCCTATAATACTGGACTTGTTTAGGCACTTGGGCAATGCTTATTGTAACTCTATTTGGGAAGGATTGTTTCTTGCAGATACGGGAAGGTAATATTTCCTTGAGTTGTATTGTTCGTTTGATGCTTGAGTTTATTTCAAAATTTGATCTTTCGTACAATCTTACAGAATATAGCAAAATATTCCTACAGTATATCTTTCTTCTCAAGGTAGTAGATATTTACACCATTTTTTAGGCAACTGACTGATAAGAAAATTTCTAGTATTTACAATTGAATTCTAAAAGCAAGAACTTTTGCAGCGATAATATACAACACGACGTAGCCACGCCAATTCCAAAACCAAGTCTCAAGGATCCCATACAGCATCGGGAGAAATATGTTCATGCTAAGGTACAAGGGAATTTTCATCTGCATTATTTATTTGTTTTAATTATTCATAATTCCTTTCCAGCAACCCCACAACATTCTGTGATTATTGGTCATTCAAGATCACTTACATATCTTTGTTTTCACTACATTGAGGGCTTAATTCTTGGAATATGCTTGCATTTTCATACTCGTAGTTTTCTCACATGAAGCTTACAAGTTTTGTCATATATAGTATGTAGAGAAACTGTTTGTGGTCAAGGATAGTGAAGCACCCGGCAACAATTCTTATGCAAAAAGTATCTGGGAAGCTGTCAAAACAAATGACTTGCGAGAAGCTTATCGCCTCATAGCAGTTTCAGCAGTATCGATTGTCAACTCAACTTTTGATGATGTGGTCAGTGTCAGTTCGAGCCCGAATTTGGGTGAGGAGCCCTCGGGAAGTAATCAAGAATCTCATAATCCATCGTTGTGTGGAAGAGATTGGGATTCTAGAGAGTCAAAGAACAGTCTTCAAGGTTGCTCACTATTGCATCTCGCTTGTCAAAATGACAATCAAGTGATGCTTGAACTGTTATTGCAATTCGGTGCCAATATAAATGTATGCGACTCTAATGGAAGTACGCCTTTGCACCAATGCATCTCCCAGAAAAACAATACCTTGGCTAAGTTTCTACTTAGAAGGTACAATATGTTCTCCTTTTGTCTTATTTTATGTTATTTGATTTTTCTTTATGCTGGTGCTGTTATCTTTTGTGGTGTTCTGGGTTGGGTGGGGGTGGCAGTTGCTACATTGAAGAACTATCCCTTGGTTGATTATCAAAAGTCATAGGTATTATGTTCACTCCATTCAACACACTAGCTTATAGATTACAATAAATTTCATGTCAATACTCTAACAGTGTAACCGCTCAAGTCTACCCCCAACAGATATTGTCCTATTTAGACTCTCTTTCGAACTTTTCGTTAAGGTTTTTAAGACGCATCTACTAAGGAGAGGTTTAGACACCCTTATAAATAATGTTTTGTTTCTCTCTCCAACTGATGTGGGATCTCACAATCCACCCCTCTTTGGGGTCCAATGTCCTCGCTAACACTTGTTTCCCTCTCCAATCAATGTGAGATCCCCCAATACACATTCTTTCGGGGAACAAAACATTCTTTATAGGTGTGTGAAAACCTCTCCCTGGCAGACGTATCTTAAAAATCTCAAGGAAAAACCCGAAAAGGAAAAATTCAAAAAAGACAATATCTACTATGGGTGGGTTTGGGTTGTTACATACTAAAGTTTATTATATACAAGAATGATCTTATACTGGTAAGAGGTACTGGAGGGGTAAGCTTTTAAGCTCAATTTTATTCCATCATATAACGTAAAAGAAGTGCCATCTATAAGTGTACACAAATTGGCAATTACATTGATAGTGGTGTTCTGATACAATTTCATTACCTGTGTTTGTGCCTGTTGTAACTGTTATAAACAGAGGTGCACGACCATCCATCAAAGACGGTGGAGGATTAAGTGCGTTAGAGAGAGCAATGGAAATGGGAGCAATAGCCGATGAGGAGCTATTTCTTTTGCTTACAAGATCTGAATAAAGAATACGATGGAACACTTATGATTTATATTTTTTTGTCAGTCGAATCTTGAATTTTGTAATTATTGGTGGTGTTTTTATCTACCATAACGTCTGTATCTCTTCATTATTGACCATCATAACATTAACTTATTGATTTGCTGTGGCATGCAGTCACCATGGCTCTTGCCCACTCGCATAAATGACATGCTCTTTGATTGATTGATTGATTTATTGTATCATATACTTACAAATATATGAACTTTAGATGAGATTTGAAAATTATTGAAACAATATGAACTTCTTGATTAAATTGAAATAGTTTTATTTTTAAACGAAAGTAAAATGAGTTATAAACTCTATTAACATAATTAAAATAATTGAAACTATTAACTAATGAGAAAATGTGCATTAACAAATTTAACTCGAAAACCATACGATGAAATGTTCATCGTTTGATAATTATTGAGAAGTTAAATCCAAGCTAAGACATTAAGCATGAGACATTCGTTTAGAGATACTCTTAACCTTATATAAGATTCCATCTTCGTTGACATTCTTGACAAATGAATCGGACACACAGATTTGTAGGTGTCCCGGGGTCCGAAACTACAAAAAAAAAAAAAAAAAACAGTTCATTCTTTTTTTAATACATTATCTAATTGAATTGTTGTTCCAAAAATTTATTACCTTTGACATATTGATCAATCTCTTCTTCGAGCACTCTGTAATTTCGAAAGTCACCGACCTAATCCCAATAAATAAAGAAACAAATATTCTTAATTTTACATACCTAATCCCAATAGATTCTTTGGAGTGATACATACCACAAACACCAAATTTTCATTAGGATGAACCAAAAATCGCAAAAAGTCATGAATCTTAATTTCTTGTTTATTTCCATACTGATCCTCTAGCAAGCACCCTATAAACATCCATAAAAACTAAGTTAAGTAAACTTAAATATGGAGGTCGATATTCAAACGGAGCTATCAGCACTTTCTAGCCACAAATTGATTACATAATAGATACGTACCTATTACTCGACGCTCTTGAGGGATGAGACTAAACAAAGACTGCAAATTTGTATTATGCCAAATAATTGCATCATTCTCTTGCAGAACCCTATGCTGATCACTAAGCACCTCACCTGCATTCATTACTCGTATTAAGCCAGCCAGTTAATTAGAATCCATTCATAGGATCAACAGTCCGACAATACAGAAGAGAAAATCTTACGCAACATTTCTCGAAATGAATCAACATCCCAAAAGGCTCGAGGAGAATAAATTTGAAGATAGCCTTGACCCCCTAGATTAATATAGAGACCGCCTAATCTGCCTAAAAAATTCAAAAGGCTCGTAAAAATCACATCCACTACCTGCATATCACATCGACAGCGACAACAACAATTTCTTTTAATTAACAAAACCTTAAACAAAACAAACACAAACACAAAAATTTAGGTCATCCACTTACATGTCTGTAAGTAGAATCCAAATGTTCTACTGGGTTGTCATTCATGGGAGGGATAGCCTGAAGAACAAAGGAAGAAAATAAAAGATAATTATAATTGACTTATAATAATCATGTTTAAAAATGGATAAATGAAAAGATTTAGAAACCCAATAATCAGGAAGAACATGGCGAATATTATGAAAAATAAAAAATGCTTTTGGATGATCGATGTGATCATTAGAGCCACTCCCTTCTTCCATAATCAAGCTTAAATCAACATCTTTTTTTCTTTTCTTTTTTTTTCTAATTTAACCAAATATTTTATAGACAAAAATAAATTAACCCGAAAAATCTTAACTATTTAAATATATATATATTTTTAATCCTTCAAAATCTAAAATGTAGTTAAGATTTGAAGAATGTTCACCAAATTAGATTAAAAAAAAAAGGTGATTTTCGAGGATTAAAAGTGGTTTTTTTTTTAAAATATATATATATATATATATATATATATATAAGTAAATAAAAAATAGTTGGATAATTGAATTAATTTTTTTAATTAATAGAATATGTATTTAATCAAATAAATTTTTTATTTAAAATAATTTTTAAAAAATGTAAAAAGGGTATCTTTGTAATTTTAATTTTTTTTTTTTTTTTTAAACTAGTTAAAACATTTTGAGTGAATCTAAGTTGAATCAAATAATAAGGGAGCTTATCCGCAATGTCGGAAATGAATTAAAAGCTCAAATTTTTGGACTTCAAAAGCATAAATTTAGAACCCTAAATCCGAGTTACCAAAATGCCCTTTTAAAGCTCAAGAATTTGAGAGTATATCCTATGTTGGTGCCTCTTCAATTCCCCGTTGTTTTTCCCAGAAGTGGAGAGAGAGACCTAGAGAGAGAAGTCACCATTTAAGACCCCATGTACATTGGTGTTCGTTAAAACCTTCCTCACTTTACCCTTTACAAACCCTAGATCTTATAAATCCAAATTTCCCTTTACAAACCCTACGCCACTGAGTTTTCACTGTGCGTTGTTCACAAGCACAGTCTAAAAGAGCTTTTTGTCAAACCCCATTTTGCAGATCTGATTCAATTGGGGTCGCGGCTAAATTCTTCTGTAGCTCGTTATCGAATTGTCAGAATTTGTGTTCTTGATTGATCGGTTGTGGTAATCTTCTTGGATTTATGTCGGAATAGTCATTTGATTATAACCCAGTTGGATGTTCTTTTCGTTTGTGCATTATCGACTTTTGTCGATGATTGATGGGTAGTGATGATTTTAAGCAATTCGTGTGACATTTATGTTTATGATCTCTAATTCAGAATTTGGACTGCGTTTTTGTTTGCTTTTAATGAAAATTCATTCTTACTGTTTTTTTTATTGGATCTCAGATTTGAGGATATACTACTGTATATGCGGTTTTAGTGTTTTATCTGGCTAGAAGATTCTCATGGCTATGCCATCGGGAAATGTGGGCGTACCGGATAAAGTATCGTTTCAGAGTGGTGGTGGCGGTGGAGTTGCGGTGAGTGGTGGCGGTGGCGAGATCCATCAACACCACCCCCGCCCCTGGTTTCCTGATGAGCGTGATGGGTTTATCTCATGGTTGCGAAGTGAATTTGCTGCTGCGAATGCAATGATTGATGCCCTTTGCCATCACTTGCGTGCTGTGGGAGAGCCTGGGGAGTATGATGTGGTTATTGGGTGTATACAGCAGCGGCGGTGTAATTGGACGCCCGTGATTCATATGCAACAGTACTTTTCAGTGGCAGACGTGAGCTATTCCCTTCAGCAGGTCATTTCAAGGAGGCAACAGAGGTATATCGATCCCGTAAAAGTGGGGCCGAAGTTCTATAGGAGACCTGGGCCAGGGTTTAAGCAGCAGCAGCAGCAGCAGCAGGGCCATAGGATTGAAGCCACAGTCAAGGAAGAGATGGTCACTTGTGCAGAGTCATGTAATGGTGGGAATTCTTCAAGTTTTGTAGGCTCTAGGAAGGTGGAGCAAGTAAGTAATACGTGCGAGGAAAGTAAAGCATCGGGGGAGGACGAAAATTTGAACGACAAAGATTCAGGGTCAGCTGAGGACAGAAAAGGTATCATTTCTTAATAGTGTGTGAAATTTATTATAGGGATAAATTAAGTTTATCCTGAACCTCTGCAAGTTTAGGACCTATACAACATTTCTTAAAAGGATCTATAGACACAGGCTTTGAAATTCCGGGGACCAAGTTTTTTATTTCATCTTAGTTTTGTTTAAATTATAATTCCACTTTACTTTTGGTATTTTTTCCTAATTTTATTTTACTGCTTTTATGCTACTCGTTATATGGGTTGTCAACGATCGACATTTTCTGTTTAACGTATGGTATGACTTTGAGTGTTATACATGACCTCTTTAAAATAAAAGAATGCAGTTGTTTACTCATCTTATCGTCTAATAATTTAGGGAAAGGTATAAATAGTATTACATATTTTGTAATAACCCAAGCCTAGCGTTAGCAGATATTGTCCTCTTTGGGCTTCCCCTCAAGGTTTTTAAAACGCGTCTGCTAGGGAGAGGTTTTCACACCCTTATAAAGAATTTTTCATTCTCCTCTCCAATCGATATTCGGGGACTAGCGTCCTTGCTGGCACTCGTTCCCTTCTCCAATCAATGTGGGACTCCCCAATCCACCCCCTTTGAGGCCCAACATCCTTGTTGGCACACCGCCTCGTGTTCACCCCCATTCGGAGCTCAGCCTCCTCGCTGACACATCGCCCAGTGTTTGGCTTTGATACCATTTGTAACAGCCCAAGCCCACTGCTAACATATATTGTCCTCTTTGGTTTTTCCCTTTCGAGCTTTCCCTCAAGGTTTTTAAAACGCATCGGCTAGAGAGAGGTTTTCATACTCTTATAAAGAATGTTTTGTTCCTTCCCCAACCGATGTGGGATCTCTCATATTTGGTGTTAACTGTTCAAGACATTGCCCTGTTGTGTATCGATTAAGAAAATTTATAACAAAAAGGGATTAATTTATCGATTGTATGATCTGTTTGTGTGTCTTTTGGGTTACGTTGTAATCTATTTTCCTTCTATTAGATTTTAAGGAGTTTATTTTATTGTATGAAATGTTTTATATATGCATGGGTTATAACGGTAAGTATCTCTTGGACAAAAATTAAAGACCAAAATAGGAGTGATGGATAATATTATAGAAAAGGCGAGGATAGTGCTTTTCTTAACCCCAAAAATCTTTGTTGTGTTGCACATATGGTTGATATGCTTGGATGCGATAAGCTTCGAAAAGTCCTTTCTAAGGTAATGAAAATGACCATGCTTTCATTCACTTTGATTTTAGTTCTACTTTACATTTTGTACCACAGTGCATTTCTAATGACATGTTTCTTATATTTCTATTTCATTCCCAGAGAATTGAATTACTTCAAATATGAATATTCATCATTGACAAACTTGCACTGAATTATGACAAACTTGCTTGTTGGTTAGATACTCATGGGAAGGACCAAGGTAATAGCAAACCGAAGTGTGCAGAACATTTAGAAGATAATGCAAGTAATAAAGAATCTCATGTTGAACCTACTGACGATGGATGTTCTTCAAGTAATAGAAGTGAGTATTGTCTCTTTAATCATTGCAGCTTTATCCTACTTTTTGTAATGAAAGTTTTGAAATATTTTTTATTATAATTATGTTATCGACCAAATCTTTCCCCAGATAAGGAGTTGCAATCTGTTCAAAGCCAGAATGGAAAGCAGTATGCTGCGACAACCCCGAGAACCTTTGTTGCCAATGAGATGCTTGATGGAAAGATGGTATAACTTTTTAGTTTTATCCTATAATTTTGTTCTTGGATTCCTTGTTGTGAGATTCTTCGAAGGAAAAAATGTTACGTAGCTCGACATGGTAGACTGATTGACTTCAAATTCAGGTTAATGTGATGGATGGATTGAAATTGTTCGAAGATTTTTTGGACGATGCTGAGGTTTCAAAGCTTCTTTCATTGGTGAACGATTTGAGAGCTTCTGGAAAGAGGGGGCAATTTCAAGGTAAGTTCTTGTTCTTTTTAACTCAGTTCAATAAACCTCTACTCAATAAAGATTGTGATTTCATGAGTTTCTGGATATGAAATTTCACACCCAATGGCGTTTGGCTAGGGAATAGTTCTTAGTGAGAGGTTTCTATGAGACTTCACCCCATCACTCCCAATGACGGCTTGTTTAATCAACTCCAAATTCGAAAGGTGCTACCCAATCATCCCTTTGAGATATAGAGCTCCAATCAATTCGAGTACGAACAAAAGGTTTAAGAAGCCACTTTTAGCCGTAGAGATATAGATCTCCTACTTAATAAGCTTCCCTTCATCTTGAACCAAGGGCACAATTGTGTTCCTACTTCTTCTGTCACTAGCCACCCTGTGGAAGAAGGTAGCGTTGCAATCTTCTTCCTTACCCCAATCAACCTCGACCTTTCCCCCCCGCTGCAAGTTTTTTCCAATCCAACTATCTCACTTGGCGTTTCGAGAGTCAACCGAGCAACTCTTTACTTCCTCTTCATCAATCACATTAATCTCTGAAGGAATCTTTTGTTTCTTAATTCTAGTGTCTTCTTTAAATAACATTATGTTTTAAATTGGCTCAATAGATCCTGAGTTCATGTATGAAATTTGATTTTTTTTCATCTATTCCTTGTAGTACACAAAATTTATAATATAATATTTTTCTGTTGCATGAAATCAGGTTCGACATATGTGGTCTCAAAAAGACCCATGAAGGGACATGGGAGAGAGATGATCCAACTAGGCTTTCCCATTGCAGATCATCCTCATGATGATGACAACTCTTCAGGGCTCTCAAAAGGCATTTGCCATTATCTTTCATTTTAGATTGTCGTTTCTAAATTTTAGTTTTTGTTTGATGGGGTTTTTTAGATATTCATTTTTAGTGAACTTTACAGATCGAAGAATAGAATCCATCCCGTCGTTGCTTCAAGATCTCATCGATCGCTTGGTTGGAGAGCAAATGATGTCAGTGAAACCAGATTCCTGCATCATTGACTTTTATAACGAGGTCGCTAACTGCGTTATTGTTTTCAGCAGGCTTTGATTATTACATGTTCTAGACTAATGTTCTTGTTGGATGAAATCCACAGGGTGATCATTCTCAGCCTCATGTCTGGCCACCATGGTTTGGGCGGCCCGTTGGTGTCCTCCTTTTGACTGAATGTGAAATGACCTTTGGTAGAGTAATTGGTACAGACCATTCTGGCAACTATAAAGGGGCTATGAAGCTGTCTCTTGCACCCGGGTAATTGTTCTATCCTTTTATCCTCTTCCTGATGCGTGCCTTCTTAATTTACTGTTGATCATCGTCTTCCGGATCTGTACCGATTTTTTCATGTTTTGGAACACAGAACCCTTCTTGTTGTGGAAGGAAAATCTGCAGATTTTGCTAAGCATGCAATTCCCGCCATCCGCAAGCAACGTATACTTGTTACCTTGACCAAATCACAACCAAAAAGAGCTGTACCCTCTGATGGGCAACGCACATCTTTGAATGTAGGTCCATTTGCCAGTTGGGGTCCTCCATCTGTTAGATCGCCGAACCCTCGCCTTTCCCCTGGACAGAAGCACTACGCTTCAGTTCCATCAACAGGGGTTCTACCAGCGCCACCCATTCGTCCCCAAATGCCGCCACCAAATGGCATCCCACCCCTAATTGTCTCTCCCGTAGCATCACCTATGCCGTTCCCTCCTCCTGTGCCGATCCCAACTGGTCCACCCACATGGCCTACTGCACATCCAAGGCATCCTCCACCGCGCCTCCCTGTTCCAGGTACTGGAGTATTCCTTCCCCCTCCAGGTTCTTCTAGTGCTCCATCTCCAGCTCCTCAACAGTTGCCAAACTCCACTGTTGAGACGGGTTCCCTTTCAGAAAAGGAGAACGGTTCGACAAAATCTGATCATAATGCAGGTGCTTCTCAAGGAGAAAAATCAGAAGCAAAGCCTCAAAGACAAGAATGCAATGGAAGTGAGAGTGAAAAAGTGAGGGAGGAAGAGCAGCAGGAGCAGCAAGAACAAAGTGAGAATCTGCAGGCCCAACATGCAGGAGATGGAGCAGTTTAGAGAGAAGAAGATACATTACTTAAGAGAAAAGAGAGAAGAAAACCAGGTAGGCTGCGGAGTTGAATGAGTTACAACAAGCAAAATGTAGAGAGCGGCAACATTGAAGACCGATGATTATCACACACTAAACACTACTACTACTACTATTACTACTACTACTACTACTACTACCAAGGAGAACAAGGGGAGTTCTCTTTCAAAATCCCTTTTTTTGTTCTAAAGAATTTCATGCCATATGGAACTTTGGATCTTACTTGTCATCTTTTTTAAAAAGAGATTTTTTAGGGAATTCTTTTTTGGGTTTAAACAGTTGAAAAAAAGGAAAAAAAAAAAAAACTAACCTCTTGAGTTATCTTCCCCCCCCCCCCCCCCCNCCCCCCCCCCCCCCTCTCATATGAAATTTATCAGTTCTAGACCTTGGCCTCTCTTGTTGATTAGATAGTGATGCATTCAGATGAACTGCTCTTTAACGTAATTTTAAATGGTCGCCCTTCATTTCTTATATTATTATAATAAATTGGTTATATACTACAAAATTCATAGAATGAATGTATTTTTTTAAGCCTTAAGAGGGAAAGTTCAAGCCTCAGCCCCTGATTTGAGAAAATATTAGACATGATTTCGTCGAACGGTTTATTTTTCATCCTAAAAATTCAAATATAGTCCGAAGAAGAATTTAAAAAAATACTGTGCATAAATTAGGTGTTGTGGCATTAATGATGAAATGATTTAAATAAATAGAAATAAAGGTAGGTTCCTTATTATCCAAAAAATGGGAAGTATCATGTTTTAAAAACGAGGTGCTATCTCATCTTTCTCCTTCATGCACCACAGCTTTGCATCGGGAACAAATCAAAACCGGTAATTTTATTTCTCCCTTTTTTTTTTTTTTTTTTTTTTTTTTGTTAAGTATTAGGAGTGTGATTTTAATTTTTTAACTTTTCATGGATTTATTGTTATTCTTTTTTTATCGGAAATAATTTATTTTTGTTTTTTCAAAAAGTAGAGAGGTAAAACCCTAAAAAAGAAAAAGAAAATCATTTCATCTTTCTTTTCTACACCCCTGCAATCAGTGTTGAGACGCCGAACACTGAATGATCTCAGATTTTATTACCCATCATTGTCCATAGATCTTGGATTTGCGAGCGCTTTCTTTGTGAGTAATCCTCACTTGTTCATTTCTTTTTTTCCCTATTTCTTATATGTTTGTGTGACTTGCTTGATCAACATGGTTTAATTGAATGCCACTTTAAATGGATTATCTGAGTAGTGCATGTTGAGTGATGCTTTTTTTTGGTGATGATTAAGCTTTTGACGTCGGGCATGGTGTTCATGTTTGGAGCATATCCGTGTGGTTATTGGGATAACTGTATGGTCCACATTCCAACCGTGCATTCTTATGACTTGGCTATTTTTGTTCCTTCCTGAATCTGATGTTTTGTTGGAGTGTGGATATTTTCATATAAATTATGAATTTGATGGGCATGAAGAGAAGAAACGAAGATATAATTTGGAATGTGTGTGGTTACTAATTTCTTGGCTTGTAAATGGAGCTACAGGCACCAAAATGATATTTCTTGTACATTGGGTGTTGTTCAAGGAATTCCTTATAGGGGGGTTGTAGTCATGTCTGTTAATTTATAATGATTTTGAAAATTTTAACTATTGGAAGTATGGATTCTTGAAGTTCGTAGATGAGTTCCTATGAGAGTTTTAATCCCAATACGAAAAAAAGAAAAGAAATGTTCCGTTTGTGTATTGACTTCCCTTATTTTGGATCCAATTTTTGGCTGAGCATTTTAAAAACATTGTTTCAAACCTGAATGTAATGATTTTTAGGGGTATACATATTCCAAACTTGCACCAAATCCATTAAGGATAACCACATTGAATAATTTTCCTGTTGTTGTCTGCCTATGCAGTTCTGTTGAAGCCATCATTTTTTTGCGCAACATGGTAGCTATTACTCCATCTTCTGCTTCTTTTTGTCTGCCCAAACGTTCGCTGTTCTCTAAAACGTCAAAAACCACTCGTATAACTGGCCCATCTGCGCTATCACGTATTATTTATTTATTTGTTTTATTGGTCTCCGATGTATTAGTCTCTGACTGTTGTGGATATGATTTTATTGCTGCTTCTTTTCTTGCAGATAGTCTCTTTGTGGCCAAGAATCCAAAAGCATTTGTCGTGAATGCCTCAATTTCAGTCACTGAATCAAATTCAAGGACTTCAAGTTTGAACAAGAAGACCCTGAATCCAATCATTGTCATTGACAATTATGATAGCTTCACCTACAATCTTTGTCAGGTAGAGTTCTACGGAATTTATTTTTGAGAGTACTAAATGTGGCTAACTCTTATTCTTATTTGGCTTTTGCCAGTTTAGAATGTATAACTCCACTGGCCTTTTTTTTATTTTATTTTTTATTTGTTTGTTGTGTGTGCAATAGTCAATTACTGGTCGTGTACAAGGAATATGTTGAACCTGTGTTGATCTCTAAACTGAGTTCCTAAATCCTTCCTAACAATGAATACATTGGATAAAACATCAATCAATTAACCTGCTTATTCTACTTTTTTTGGTGTAAAAATTTGGTTCCTAACTACAACTTCAATTCTTTATTATCAAATTGGAGAAATCTTTTATAATCCCTTTGAATGAGACTTATCTTTTGTACCATTTTATTTAATCAATGAATTTTTTTTAATCCCAAAAAATCAGCAGCAACAACAAATATGTTGGAGGAAAACAAACCAGTTAACCTGTTTCTGGAATAATTATTTTAATTATGTTCTAAAATGGCTAATTTTGAATGAGCATTTTTCTATAACAACAATAATCTTATTATTAATTTTTTAAACACTACGTAACATGTGGGGTGGTGAAATTCAAACATATAATCTCTCAAAGGAAACAGTGATGCTTTTACCATGGGGTGGGTAGAACTTATAACCTCTTGGAGGAAGTAGTAATGTCTGAACCATTGATAACCTACAGCCTCTTATTAAGTATTGTAATGTGGAATATTAATTCTTTCTTAGTATTTAAGGAATTGGTGAAAATTCTGTACCATATTTTTAATGCTCAACTAGAGGAAGTATGTGCACTTAAATTCACAAGATTTTGCGCTAAGTATCAAATCAATTGATGACGGATCACTATTTTCCATTCTGCTGTATTTCATAAACTTCGTATGATGAAGTGGTAAGACTATGAAAGTTGGTTTGCTAAGTCTTTAACCTTATCCATTGGGCACTTCTTAAATCTTTATTACTATGTTATTTGCATCCAGATTATTTAGTTCATTCATCAGAGAAAATGATACTATGTACTAGTTCTGTTTGATTTGCTAATATTAGTCCAGTGTTTTTGTGAGCATGCCTAGGTGCATTATTGGATAATATTCTTACCTTTTCCAAGTCTCTTATTTTAGCACTATTAGTAAAAAAACTGAAAGGTAGAATCAGTGGCGACAAAGGAATTCTTCACCAACCTTAGACTTGACAACCTTTCCTGGGGCCTACCTTGGAATTCTTTTGGGTGCAACCCAAAGGCTATCTCCTTTTGTAATTCGGTTCTAAAACATTTGAGTAGAGTATAAATAGACAGAAGCACACAACTACATCTTTATAGTACAACTATAGGAAGTAAAAATATTCGATAGTTTACATCAAGATATAGCTTGGTAAACAACATTATCCAAAAGTTTTGTGTAGGTATATGTCTTTTCTGCAAATACTCTCTGATTTCTTTCTTTCCACAGATTCCAAAAGAAAGTCATGATGAAGTTTTTTCATAATAGGGCTTTTGCATTCTTGAAAGGGTGGTACGTTAAGGCCATATCCAAAAATTCCTTTGCCTCCCTAGGAAATGTGAGATTTGCAGTATGTGGGAGAGCAAAAAATTATATACGTGGAAGTAAATTATATATCAAAATGAATAACTCTTTAGGGAACAAAAAACTATAGTTTAATATATTTGACCATAATTTGCAGTATATGGGAGAGCTGGGATGTTTTTTTGAGGTCTATCGAAATGATGATTTGACTGTGGATGAGTTACGAAGGTATCACTGGCCTATTCATGCTTTTTACATCATTCAGTTAGCAGACATTTTCAAAGACATCGAGTGTAATGATTTGTATTGTATGAATTATAATGTTCTGAACTCTATGCTATTCTTATAGGAAGAATCCACGAGGAATTCTAATATCCCCTGGGCCAGGTTAGGATTTCCTCGAGTAATCTGTTGATGCTTATTGAAATTTGTCAATAATATAGTCTGAGACTATCATTGCTTCTATGATATCCTCTTCTGCAGGGGCACCTCAGGATTCTGGGATCTCGTTGCAAACTGTTTTTGAACTTGGACCTACTGTTCCTCTATTTGGTGTCTGCATGGGTTTGCAGTGCATTGGAGAGGCTTTTGGAGGTTAAATCCTAATTTGAGAATTTTTACCATCTGACTTTGTGGTTCCCGTGTTTTTTTTCATGATCCACCCTGTTTAATTTTGAGTTGTAAAATAAGAGGTGACATTATTTTCTGTTTCATGCAATGTTCCTAACATTGTGGACCTTGTGACATCTCAGGGAAAATTGTGCGTTCCCCATATGGTGTTGTGCATGGAAAAAGTTCTCCTGTTTACTATGATGAGAAGGGCGAGGAAGGGCTTTTATCTGGGTTATCAAAGTATGTTCTTAACATTGGTTTTATATTTTGCACATTTGAATGCATCGCATTTTGTTATCCAAGTATGTACTGCCTACTGATGGTGTTTTCATTGCAAATATATTAGTCCTTTCACTGCTGGTCGATATCATAGCCTGGTCATTGACAAGGAAACTTTTCCCGATGATGAGCTGGAAGTTACAGCATGGACTGAAGATGGATTGATAATGGCCGTTCGCCACAAGAAATACAAACATTTACAGGTAAGATTTGTTTCCCTCTGTTCATCAACAATTAAAGCTGCTATTCGTTGAGGTTCCAAGCTACTTTTTAAGAGTAAAAAGTATTGTTTAGCTCCAAACAAGAAGTAAAGAAATTAGCAAGAAAGCATAAAATGTGGAACAAATTTTAACTTCCCAAGATTTCTGAATGTTTTCCTTTTTGTAAGTCATACCTTTTCCTCTAATTTAAGATTTTAAAGATCCAAGAAATGATAAGTGGTCAAAAAACACATTTCTATTTTCCTTTCTAGAACACAGACAAATAATTGCCAAACGGTTTTGGTTTTCTTCGTTAAAGAATTAGAAAAATAAAAGAAAAATGATCTTACTAGAATAGAAGGATGTATCTGTTCTACAGTTTCTACAACTGTGTCCATACATTCTAAGAAATCAAGAACAAAAATGGTCAACAAGAAAAAAAGAAATAAGGGACGTTAACGTTCTTGTATTTCGATGGCAAAATACTCGTAAATAGAATCTATATTTTAGTTGTTGAGCAACAGTTGCATTTGTGAACAAGAAATGACCTTGTATATGATGATATTTGGTGGATCTCTGTGGATACTAAAGAAAATGGTTGTTTGAATCATGTTGCAGGGAGTTCAGTTCCACCCAGAAAGTATTATAACGAACGAGGGAATGTCCATCGTTCGCAACTTCGTAAAATTGATAGAGAGGAGGGAGATGGAGGTCGAGCTTCATTCGTGAGGTTCAATTTCTCAGCCTGAGACTTTCTTCATCTCTTAACCTGTTAAACCTTTCTACTATAGCCATTGGATTGTTGTGTCGCTTCAACTTATAAGTGGCTGATATGAGCTTAAGTTCAAGTGACCAAGTTGTTTAGTGACTCTACTATAAAGTCGAATAAACTTGTTCTCTTAAATTATAAGTTTGTTGAATTTTAAGTTTGAAATAGGTGAAAAAAAAAATGAAATAAAGCCCACAAGAGTGGCAGGACACCACACAACTTTTGATACTAAGCTCATGGCCCGATCTATGAGCTTGAAGTTCATTGGATCATGATTTGGGTCATTGCCCAAAACAGATAGAAAATGGTGAGTTTTAAGTATTTAAAAGTAAGACCTAAAGCATATTATTATGACAAAAACCAAACAGGGGGGAAGGGAAGATTGATTATATGAATGCGACCCACATTGAATATTAATTAAAGACATGTTTGGAGGGTTGGTATGGGCATTTCAAGAGCTTTGATCTAACTTTGCTTATAATTTTATAGCCAAAATGGTAAGATTATTAATTCAATCAAGACATGGGTAGTTGAGGCCTTCTTTAACACCCACATGTCCATGCATTTTCATATATTCAAACTTTTGCATTAATGCCTTTTAATTCTGTGTATTCGAAATGTATGTTCATTCACCTATTCAATCATTTAAATTTGACAAGACTATTTCATTTTTCAATTTTAAAATAATTAATAATAATTATTGTGTTCGTGTAATTTGGATTGATTTATGGAAAGACCGTTCGAGTATAGTTTAGTAGTTTCACGTTCGAGTATAGTTTAGTAGTTTCACGTTCGAGTATAGTTTAGTAGTTTCGACATTCGAGTATAGCTTAGTAGTTTCGACTGATGATGGAAAGTAGATAGCTCTCTTGAGGGTTATTTTTCTAGTCGGACCCCTCTTCTTCATTTAGTTTTTATTACTAGTATGATTGAATTTGTTTCACTCATTTATGTTTCCGTGATGACTTGATAATTTTTAGTGTTAGAAATCAAGGATCGTTCTTATTTTTTGTAGAAGTTTTGACCCCTCTTCATTTAGTTTTTATTGGCCTCTCTTGAATTGTTTTAAACGGTTCCCACAAACCAACCTGCCTTCTTTTAGCATGTTTTGTTTTTACTCGCATATTTTTTAAGAAAATTTTCAAAAAATCACCCACTATAAAATTGCTCAAAGCTAAGCACCACTTTAGATTTTATATGATTGAACCATTAAAAAGCAAGCAATATACACCACATTGGTATAGCCGTCAATCTTTTATGTATTTCACATCCATCCTATCCTTAGAATCACTTTCATTCAAATGTGATCTTAGTTCATTCATGTATCATCTTTTACTCGAGTGTCATATTCGATCATGTTTTCTTTCCTATTTCAATTATATTTATGAACTTTTAAGTCTTGACAATTTTTAAGATGAAGTATTTTTAGAAGTTTTTCTACACATAATAGTCATGACATGCACGTAGAATAGATCCTATTGTTTCTATATAAGTGAACTTACTAGTGAAACACTTGTAAACTAGGTTGAAGGTCTTGCTCGAGTTTCACTAGGAAATGTTGGAGGGTTCATGTGGCTAGTAGCAAACGACGAGATAAATATTGTAATAATTCAAACCTATCACTAGCCGATATTATCCGCTTTGATCTGTTACATATCAATGTCAAACTCAGTTTTAAAACACATATAGTAAGAGAGGTTTCCATATCTTTATAAATAATGTTTTTTTACTCTCTTCCACGTTGAATCTAACACATATCAAAAGAGAAATAGCGTGAAGCTGGACAAAAAGAAATACAAGCTGCGACTTAGCCGCAACATCGGGTGCTGTGGGTGGTTAGATCCATCGAAGCAGAGAGAATTGGGTGGCTGATGCCCATATCAAAGCGAGAGAGAGAGAGAGAGACGAGCACAGGAAGATGCGAGCCGAGGTAGGAGATTTGGACGGCAGTACTTATCTCTGCCAACTGAGAAAGCCATAATGATATGTTTTGAAAGCCTGCGAAGCTGCAGAAATCAAAATTTGGACTATAAAAACGGGGCTTCAAAACATAACAAACATTAGTTTTTGTGTACTAACGATAAAGGTATTAGTGCAACTTTTAAAAGTTCATAGGTATTATAAAAACGAGCAATTAAAAGCCCCTGAGAGTGGAGAGTGTGTGGGCATGGGCATAAGAATGCATGTGTGGCCCAACCAAGGGCTGTGAATTCTCTTTCGAGAGCTTGCATTTAAGGAGGCATCAGAGATGGGACTTCGTGGGAATAATCAATCATATTAGTCCCCACTGCCCTTCAACCTCCAGCTCAGCCTACGTTTAAACGCCTTGAATCAATCATGACAGGTGTTACGGTCATATTTGTCCAAGGCATGTTGTCTATGGCTGCATGCCATATGTCTCGGTCTTGCTTGTTCAGAACACGTTATTCATATTTGCATGCCTGTTCCAAAAGTCATCGACATTCGAATTTCTTATGACTGACTTGTTCACTTGGTTAAAACAAGTATTGCACGATCGCTTTGCCGCTATTGCAAGAATACGATTGTGACAACAGGCATGTAACAACTGTCTTATTTTTTTGAAAAAAAAAAAAAGTAGTCATGATATGCATGTAGTAACCGTCAAGTATGCCTTTTAAAAGATAATGAATGATGTCATTGTGTTTGTTATAATAACGAGAATTATTACCATTTCATGAAAATAGGTTAGTTGCTTAATAAGATTAGATGCTTAAGTCCGACATCTCAAACATGCGTTGCAAACCAATCAACATCGACCCAAGCCTCACATGATTGCATCCACCCAACTACTCGATTCGACCCCTATTGAACTAGTTAGCACCTCAGATGTACAGTTTGAGCCTACCAGACGGTTCAATGCATCCAAATAGTCCGTTCACACGAAATTAAATTTAAAAAACTTAGCAATATGACCACGAGGGAGAGTGGCGATATGGTTATTTTATTTATTTATTTATTTTTGTGAATTTGAACGTGAAATTATTACAAATATAGTGTTTAATTAGTTAATGTGTGGATTATATTACATAGTTTTGGAGCTTTTATTTTAGCATATTCTTTAAATTTGGTATATTTTTTGAATAAAAATATTTTAAAATATTTGTAGGAAATATTTAAATATAGTTTAATTGCATCCAAGACACTCCCTAATATTAATAAATATTTAATTATTTCCAATTATATTAATTAAGAATCACATGAATATTTCTTGCTTGGAAGCATTTTATTATATAATAACATACTATGTACTAAACTATACATATTTCATGCAAAAAGTATAAGATTCGAAAAGTACGTAATTAATTAAAATATAATTAATCCAAATTAAAAAAAAAAAAAAAAAAAAAAAAAAAAAAAAAAAAACATGACGACAAANTTTAATAAGAACACATGTGACCATGTTTGCATGCAAACTTTCATATCTTCATCGATTCCTCTTCCAACCAACCAAATTTAAAACCAAATTAAACTATAACGCTATTTTCAAAAACTCAGTCCTCATATTTTATGCTATTTCATTTTAATCCACAATTTCAATTCTTATATAATTTTATAAATTTTTATTAAAATAATAATTTAGTCTCTATATTTTTAGTTTTATAACAATTTAGTCCTTAAACTTCGCTATTAATAAAAATTTGTCCCAATACTTTTAATTTTGTAAAAAAAAAAATTAATATAACTCAATGTAAGGAACTGTTAAAACATAAAATTAAAAATTATTTTTGTAAAAATTTAGCATTTAAACCTCAATGGTAATAATCCCTAAATTATTGATAATTTAAAGAAACCCTAGTTACATGGGCATTTTTTTTTTTTTTTTTTACATATATTCTTAAAAATTGCTAGACTAAACTCGTAATTTTACGTGATTAAAAAAAGTTAAAAAGTAAAAAGTAAAAAATGGTAAATGTGTTGGGTGTGAAGAAACCATTATTACTGCTAGTCAAAGGGTAAGATAGCAAAATCAGAGATGAAAAAAAATTGAGAAGTGGAAAGTAACATGAAAAAGGAAACACTAAATAATTGAACAAAAAAAAGATTAAATTATTATTAAGTTTTTTATTTTATTTTTTAATTCCAATGTATTAAATTATTATTTCTTTTTATTTCCTCATTTATTTATTGAATTCTCCGGAGACAGTGGCTATTAATACTCCAGACCCACACCACCTCCTTCCAAACCAACTTCCACATTTTAATTTAATTATTCCTTTTTCAAAAATATTAAATCAAACCAGTAGTTACCACATTCATTTTAAAACTAATTTCTTCATTTTTTTTACATACATACATACATATATATATATATATATATATATATATATATATATATATATATATATATATATATATATATATATATATATGACTACGTTCAAGAGTTGGAACTTTAAACTTTCTTAAACTTTTGTTTGAAATAAAATAAAATAAATATATATATAAAAGAAGGTTCTCAAGAATCAAAGGGAGGGTCAGAAATCATGTGGGTTAGACCCATGATATAAGGAGAACACATACCAAACTTTTATGTCTCTCTCTCTCTCTCTCTCTCTCTCTCTCTCTCTTCTGTTCTTTGTAGTGTTCGCCATTTTTTCTTCCATTTCCCAACTCTTCTAAGTCGCTGAGAACCCATCAAGAAAAGGCCAACCTTTTTGTTTTTCAGGGTGTTGGTGGGTGTGTGGCAATGAGAGTGAGTGTAGAGAGAGGAAGAAACGGCGGTAATGGAACCAAACGGCACGCGGGAGGAGCAGTCGTCGCCGCCGCAATTTTCTTCATTTGTCTTATTTTCGTGCTCTCTCGGATGACACTCTCCTCCGCCGCCGTTAGAGGTGTTAACGTCCCCACGTTAACAAAATCCGCCACTCTTCACCGGAAGACCCACGTTTTCGAAACGGAGGAGCTCTTTAAACCACCGGCCGGTTTCAAAATCCACGCTGACGTTGCGGACATTGTATACGAGGATGATAAACGGGTGGTCCATACCGGCCCAAATCCGCTTCACAATTAGGCCCAATAAGGCCCAACAACAACCCCCTCCCCATCTGTTTATTCTGCTACAGATCAGTTTCCTCTGTAAGAGAAGCTTTCAATTTTTTTCTTAATTATTTAGAAATTTA